ACAAGATCTCGCACGAGTTGCGACTGCGACTGCTCTGCTGCCTAATCAACGGCAAACAACGCAAAAAAAAAAAAACAAAACAGGCTAAACAAAAATTACTACGCAGCAACTATTTTTTTTTTGTACACCCTAAAGGTGAGGGGGTGGGGTGGAGCTCTTTATGAACAAAGCGACAAACGAAAGCCAGGAAGGAATGGAAGCCAGGGGGAACCTGTCGGATTCTGCAAGTTCAGGAGGAAAAGGAAGCACCTCTCAGCACGGCTTGGCTCAGAAAACGAGGGGGAGTACATGTCTGTCCAGAGGTGGTGGGAGGTGCTCCACGCTTCACCAGAAACAACAACAATAAAAATTACCACGAAACCCAACACTCTGCAAAACTCACCACCACAGAGAAAAAAAGAGAGAGAGAGAGAGCAAAGCAGAAAAAGAGAAAAAATAAATACACGCGCCGCTAACTGATGACGTCGCAGAGGGCAGTGGGCAGAAGTGAAAGAGGAGACAGACCCGACCCATCCGTACTCCAACCTTAACATCATTCCATCTATACTTTTGTTGCTGTGTGGATACATTTGATACCCTGCAAGACGAACCAAATGTATCAAAGGAATAAATAAAACTTAATTTCAGATGAAACTTCAAAGGTTGTCCGCAGATTCTGGCCATTGCTGATGAACAGAGCCGCAGATTCAGAATCAGAATTCGAAGAAAATAACTCGTACTAAAATTAAAACTGTTGATAATAAAAGCAGCGGCACCCAGCCACCCAAGCACTCAGCACCGGCGATCCCAGGGCCAAGCCAAAACAGAGAGCGGCGACTGTAGACACGCTGCATAGCGTGTGCGCGCGCTGTGGCTGCTTTGTTCCACACACAATAAAACGTATACATATCTCTATCTGAAGAACCCTAAGGTGACATGTGGGGTGCCTTAGGCTTATGTCATAGCTGGAACAGTGCACACAAACACCACAACACAGCCATACACCTTGAGAGTGCGCCGTACAAATTACTCGGTAGTACGCGGTAGTGGTACATAGCAGAGCAGAGGTGGTGCTGCTGCTGCATAGTTGGGTACGCGGGGCGAGGGAGAGGCCGAGGGCGAGGCTGATAGCAAGCAAATCTAATCTATAAGAATTTTTTTGTTCTGATATGGTATTTCCTCGTCTATGCAATGTGTACATATGTACACCTGTATGCATTCACATAAATATAAAGACTACTTTCTGTTGATCTGGAATCATAAGATAATTATATTCCTCTGGTAGATGCTAGATTTTCTTTCCTGGATATAGTTTCCTGTGAATCTTTCCTTTAGGGTATTCCTTTTTTAACATTTTTTCAGTTTGTACGCTTGAATCACTAGGGCAGATGTTCCAGGGTATTTTAGATGTGGTATCAATTGGCTGTGTGTTAATTCGCAGTACTCTTGTAGTAAAGATTTTCTGTTACCCTATTTATGGTGACTTTTTTCAGCATGTGCTAAAGGGTTGTTTATGGAATAGATCCATTGCCTTTTTTTATCATTATATTCATTATCTCTCATTCTGTTCTCTGTTACTTCTTTCCTTCTTTTCTTCCTTCTTCGCCACGTTCTTCTTCTCTTCCCACATGGCAATATTCATGAGGAATGTTTGGGTTGGTTTAGGCTGGGTTGGTTTTTGGTTTCTGTTGGGTTGGGCTTTGGTGTTTGGTGGTGTTTGGGTTTGTGTTTCGGTTCTGTTCTGTTTTCGTTTCGTTCGGTGGTGAGTTTATAATAAATATGACTCTCGCAGAGAAATTCCCATTCATTCATGTGTGCCAGTGCCACATTGTCTTCATTTGTTGGCTAGTTACATATTTCCCCAAGTTGCTGTCTTCTAGCTGGTGCTTAAATGAGGGTTTTTCTGGGCTGGTGGTGGCAGTGGCTGTGGCTGTGATGGTGTGGCGGCACATTGGTGGTGTGAATAAGCTTTCACCGAAAGCCTAGCCTTGTTACTTTGCTGCTTTCGCTCTGGTGGTGGGTGGGTCTTCCTGTTGTTGCAGTTATCATGTACACAATGGGGTAAGATTTTTTTGTTTTTGTGGAATGTGTTGTGGTGTGTGTGAGTGTGTGTGACTTCAAACAAAGAGTAGTCAATGTTTGCCTCTGTGTCCGATAAGCGCAGCCTGTCGGTCCCCAGCATTATGGCAACTTGGGAAGGGAGAGACCAAGTTCACTCCTCCACAGTTTAACACACAGACAGTTATAAAACACACCACGCACCAAGCACCCATGTGGCTGGCGCGCAGGATATGGCTATCAATTCAGCTCTGTGTAGTTCCAATGCCACTTTTGTTGGCCAAAACCCATTTTTCGTTAAAATATAACCTTTGGTTTTGATCTCTCAGCATGTGAAAAAGAGGAGCTTAAAGTTGGTACCAGAAATGTCCATAGATGGCCTTTCTTTATAATTATATGCTATCCCATTCTGTTCTTGCTGTACTTCTTTCCGTCTTTTCTTCATTCTACGTTCTAAATCTCTCCCATATGAAAATACGATTCACCGATCGAATTTTTGGGTTGAGTCTTAGGTTGGTTGGGTTTTTGGTTTCGTGTTTTGTATTGTTTGGTGTTTGTGGTAGTTGTGTGTCTTGTCTTTTAGGTTAAAATGAGTCGTTTTTTTTAGCCTTTTGATTGAAACTGATTTTTGAAGACGTATATTTAGTGAGTCCCACCAATTCCCATCCTTAAATCTATGTGTGCCAGTGTAGATTAATAACTTCTTTGTTGTGTATATAGTAAGAAATACCACATTTGCCACAAATCTTAAAATTTTCATTAGCTGGTCCTCAAAATCAAGGATACAGATTTGTTTGGCGTTGCAGTGTTTGTGGCTAAAATGATAGGTGTGAATGCCCAGAGAAGGCTTAATTGGTGGTGAATAGGCTTTACGAACCCAGCTAGTAACCGCAACTTTCTGGTGGTGGGTGGGCTCCCTGGTAGTTGCAGTTTTCCAGTCCTACACCAGGGGGGTTTTTCTCTAGGTGGCAACAATTACAAAAATTTTTTGTTTTCAAATCAAAATTTGTGTTGTTTTTGTGCGTGACGCTATAATTTAAACAAAGAAATTATTTAAACTAATTTCTTAGTAAAACTGTTATAATTACTTCCTATTCCCTATCATTAACTATTATTTAATATGCAAAGCTGATGAAGGGGAAAGGAGAGACCAAGACAAAGGCACAAAAAATCTCCTCCATAGCATACATATACAGACCGATAAAAAGACACTAATTTGAAAAATACCCATGTGGTTTGCGAGTATTTGGCCAACAAAAGTGGTTGCCCAAGCCGACGCTACGCTGGCAGGCAGCATTAAAAGATGAACAACGAAGGGAACTTCAAGTGTAAGAAGATGAGAGAGAGAGAGAGAGAGAGAGAGAGAGAAAGAAGGAGAAGCAACCGTGACGCCATTGCCCATTTTGATTTTGTTGTTTGCTGTAAAGTGGCATAAAACAGATGCAACAACAGACAGACAGACAGAGAAAGAAAGAAAGGCAACAGAAAAGAAGCAGCAGAATCAGTGCACAAAGAATAAGCAGATGAAACACCACCACAGTAAACAAAAAAAAAAAAACTGAAGCGAGGAAAGGAGCAAAAATTCTTATCAGTCAAGTTTACTGATTTTTTCTGCAGAAGCAGAAGCAGCAGCAGACAAAAGGCAAGATAATGGGCAGAGGCAGGGATGAGTAAGATACATATCTCTCTCTCAATTAGAAATCTATTTGCAGAGAAGATAAATGAAGGGAGGGGGGCGATAGGGAGACGGATGCACAATGTCTGAGTACAGTTGTCTGTCTCGTGTGACGGAGGAGACAGGCAGAAACCCGCATGCATTATTCTTGCCATCATACGTACGTACTTAAAGAGAAGCCACTGTAATGCGCGGAGGACACGCACACGAAGAGCAAGAGTCAGCAGTGTTTGCCTTTTAACAGTGCACTTACATAGGAATTAACAGCAGGCTGACAATAATAATAGTTACGCTTAACAGGAATCGGAATGAATCCCACACATACAGAGATTGAGAGAGAGAGAGGGAGAGAGAGAGATAGAGAAAGACATGCAACAAGAATAACAATAGAAAACGGGAGAAACTCTACTTTTGATGCTGATTAGGAATATAAATTTCTGAGGTGTAAAACAGGAATAAATATTAGAAACGAAACTGTAACAGCTGCTATACGTAACAGCAGGCTTTAACAGTAGCCTTCTGTTTACACTGGCCCCCCCCCCCCCCCGCCCCCCCCCCCCCACCAATTCAACTAGTTGGCGGCTATGCTCCTACTATGTCTGTTTCTCTCATTCTTCGCTCGCGCTCTCTTTCACCCCACACACAAACACGCCGAAAGACTCGTTTTGCATTTTCTGTTTTTGTTTGATTCATTTTATTTTTTATTTTTTTTTGCCGGTTTCGTGTTATGTGCCGCACATTTTTCCCCTTTTTTGTTGTTGTTATTTTTCTCTCTCTTTTTATCGCTGTCTCTGTCTTTTGCGTTGCTTTGACTGAGCAACAAATTGATTATGAAATCGCTTTGCCTATGTGTGTGGCTCTCTTTCTGCATGTGTGTGTAGATCAATTTGCACTGCACAATCCCCCTCCTTCCAAGCCCCTGTTATAACACTTTAACCCTTCAAACGTTTTTCTTTTGTTTCTTTTTTAGTGGATTTTTGGAGGTTATATCAATAATAATAATAATAGCCAGAACGAGCAAAAGTGAGCCACTACATAAAGAACGAGAGGGACAGAGGCAGGTTTAAGCAGAGAGTAGAGAGAAAGATGGAGAGAACGCAAATAAACGATAATCAAAAGCAGTTACTATAACAGCAACAAAAAATAACCTCTGAAAAGACAGTGGTGGACGGAATAAAAGGAGAGGAGAAGGAGAATCAAAATTAACTGTATGACCAAATGGAGCCGCTACGACTCGCAGGTTTAGGTTTGGATTTGAAAACCTTTTTAGTGGCGGATCACTACTCACTTTTCACGATGCAGCAGACATATGCGATCCTTTGCCACCTTCAGCTTTTTGGCGATTATCTTCTTGAGGCTCTCCACGTTGATGTGGGGTTCCACGCTGACGGCAAAGTTGCCGCCGGTGGTGGTGCTGATATTGAGGTTAATCAGCATGCCACTGCCACTTCCGTTGCCGCTGCTTGTGGCGTTTCCATTTACACTTGTTGTTGTAGTCGATGATGATAAACGCTGCAAGGCGACGCCGTTGCTGTGACTCCTATTCCCATTACAGTTGCTGCTGCTGCTGGTGCCGTTAGTTGTGGTTGTGCCACTGTTGTTGCTTTTCTTGGTGGTGGTGCTGCTGCCACACCCAGCATTTGGCTGTGTTGCCGCTGCTGTTGCCTCATTCTGGGCATCAGCCGGAGCCGTGTTCGTTGTGGTTTTTGTTGTTGGCTTATCCATTTTCGATCCGCAACGAAACTAGGAGAGAGAGCGATAAAGTTTGCGTACTTTACGTTCTTGCTGCTTCTCTTTTTCCTTTCAACGCACGCACGAACACACACACACCCACACGCAATCACCGATAAGCGGGTGGCACAGGAAAAAAATATTTCAAACAATAATTTGATATGTTGCAGAAAACTGTTGGGTTGGGGGCTGGTGGATTGATTCAACAAAAAAAAAAAACCAGCACGGCGCAGAAATGTTAGTAATGGAAAAAATCCTAACGGCACACGTTGCTGCCTCGCTGCGGCGTTGGTTCAATTGCAATCGATTTTATATATATACCACACCTTACGCACACACACACACACACACGCACCACCGCACAGAAAGACGAGAGGCAGGCACGCACGACGTAACCGTTGCCGTAACGTAATGCGCAATGCGAAGCGATGCGGTTGATGACAGTTTGTAGGGGGAGGGGGGACGATTATGTAGGGACCGACGAGGTTACGTTTAAATTTACTGTTGCTGCCCGTTACACGCACGCCTACAGTAATGTTGTAAATTGTTTCTTCGTATTTGTGGTTTAAGCAACTGTTTTCGCATCGATTCAAACTGGGGTTTTTTTCGATCTCGGCGATGCGTATTCTCTGCTTTTTTCTCTCTACCGACCAACCACAAGTCGGCTTCAAGTAACAGTCCCGCGGCGAGACAGAGCCAAACGAGAAAATATTATTACTTTATTTATTCGACGCGCGCGCAACACGTTCGTTCGCGCAGTTCAAGAGAAATGTTTTTTTTTGAATTTGGTTTTAGGATTGTTGATATCGATATATCGATATAGGTGATATTTTTTATTTTTGATACGATAATATCGGTACGATATTTTTGTCGCCGAATATGTCAAGAATGTTTTTTTTTGAATTTGTTTGTTTGCGCCGCAAGGATAAGGTATGAGGTGTGACGTCACAAAATTCAGAGCTTTCAAGAAAAATACCCACCTCACCACATAACTCACCGTGCGGGATTTTGGGCTTTCGCGCACCCATGGTATATTTAGTCCTTACGAGGCCCTTAAAAAAAGTTCAGCCGTTTTAATACTGGGGCCATACCTTGCCATGACCCAGTTGAAAGAGAGCACTCAAACCGCTCTCCCGGCTCATTTTAGCGTTTAAAATATGAGCTAGAGGTGTCAAACAAAAGAGGGCCCTATCGGTAGTATCGATATTTTGCTGCTAGCCTCTACTATCGATTGTTTTGAGACTATCATGATAGTATCGAGCTACAGCCGTTGCGCTTTTGATATGTTTGGATTTATTTAACAAGATCCCACTTCACTACCTAACTCTCTCTGATCACATTCTAAGAACAGGAACGCTAGAATGGGCTTGGTTTGGCTCATTTTTTAACCAAAACAATTGTTTATCAAATACATGCAAGCTTAAAATAATAGTAAAAACAAATAGTCCGTGGAGGGAGGAAATTCTTCGAATCTCTCCAGCTTGTAGCTGTTGACATTCTCCAGGCTAAAAGGCATCCTATTTAGGGCAAATTTTTGACGCACGCACGTATGAAAGAAAATAAATTCCCTTTTACCAATAAATACTGAAACTGTACCTAAATTTCAACCTTTTTCATTGGTTGTTGCTGATTATTTTGAATGTAATATCATTGTGTAATCAAATACGTGTTCTTGAAAGATACATTTGATTTGTATGGGAAAAATTTCGCACGTTCGGGAAATGAAGTATGACATTGTATGGGCAACTTTGGCACGGAATGAGAACAATCTGCATACCTTGGGAAAATGGATATTATGGACTTGAGATATTGTTTGTAATTTCAGGCTCCAATTAATGCAGAAACTACTCAGTCTCTGTTTTAAAGATTTTAACAAAGTTTTGCAGCTAAAAACATAGCCAATAATAGGAAAAAACAGAACCGGGATAAATGTATTAATATAACACAAAACATAATAATATTAATGCGAGGTTAAAAAGCACATGCTGGCCAATCTAGGATAAAATCATTATTAATATTTCAATGGAATTCGGAACAACAAGCCATTCTAACAATCAATTAACGGAAATAATTGGTATAGGGCTAAAAGTCCAACTAGCTAGTAATATTAAACTGAAACTTGGTTGACAAGCAACAATGCACTTCAAAGTTTAGTCAACATTTACCGTTTTGCGGATGGATTTTTTATTCTAGCGGTCCACTTGAACACTTCTTTATGCTAGGGCCAACAATGCCAACCAAAAAGGTTCAACATCGATAGTGGAAAAGCTAGCCAATCCTGAACAAAACCTCATTACGAGGAATTGGGAACAAATAATTATGTTTTTTACGGGCTGTAGTAGGTCAAGCATTCAAAAGGTTAAATAACTTTAAATATTTGATATATCAAATTTGAACGAAGTTGTCATATCGCAAACTATATCACGGTATTGGTCAGCCGGGAAGGGAACTAACGAATTGCCACGGATCTGGCAATCGCAATAATAAATATTTTACGACGACTAATAATCGTTTTAATTGTTGTTTAATTGTTTGAACCTTCAATATTTAAGATAGTCCAATAAAAAGGACTTCGAAAACTGTTTCAAGCTTGTAGAAAAGAATGTATCTTTCGGACCGGCAAAGTAGTCGTTAATGGGTTTCACATTCCGGGCATCTGGTGGAGTTGGCAGTGAATGACTAAAGAGCAAGCTCATTTTCGATGGAATACTGCAACGTCGATATGTTCGGAATACATCTTTTTATCAATCGTTGCTATTTGGTCACTGATAGGTTTTTAGTGGGAATGCTGAAATAATTTTTCCAATAAAACTGCATCTGATTTACCTTTTGGGAACTTGTCCATTGTAATATATTTAGATGCCATATGGTCAGGATTTATTTAGAACATTTTGTGTTGGTACTATCAAAATATAGCAGCCAATCCAAACTTAGAAAATTCACCGCGTAACGATTTTGGAGCCATCACAACTAATCATGTGAGCTCAAACGGTCGATACTAGATGGTGAACCATCGAGGTAAAATATCGACCACTATGGTATAGTAGCGCTATCAATTTTGTTTGACACCTTTACAACGGACGCATAAATTGTTTTGGCCAGGATACCACGTGCACGAGCAGCAGAAACAGGACACGGCAGAACTGAACCCAATGCGCATGCAGGGTGCGGGCCAGTGGAGAGCTGTCGCAGAACAGCAGCAAGCGGAGGAAGTCGAACAGTCGGCGTCACAGTGGGCCCTCTGACTCTGGTAGCGGGCTGGGCTGGGCTGGGTGTGCCGCTGGGATGCGGTCACTAGCATACGATGTGGCCAGCTGCACTTACACGCCTGCTGAGACGACGCATCATCTACATAATCCTTGTGCTGCTGCTGCTGGTGTGCATTATCTGGGGCAACCTCTTGGATCGGGTGAGTGGCACTGGAACAGTCTGGACAGTGGAAAACTAATCTCGTTCGGTTTCCGCAGCAGGGCGCCTTTAGTGGTCTGCGCTATGACGACTTTGAGGTGCAGCGCACACGGCCGCTCCTCTGGACGCAGCAGCTTCTGGCGCCGGAGCAGCATATCAATCGAACGCGGGACCCGGAGCTGCGCTGCCGCAACTCGGTGCAGGGCCGCCAACTGCTCACCGACGAGCGCGGCTTTGTGTGCCTGCGCGAGCAGACTCTACCCAGCGGCTGCTGCAACCTGGAGATGCCCGGTATCGGCTACTATAGCTGTCGCACCTGCAACGCCACCACCAACTGCTGCCGCCTGTACGAGTACTGTGTGTCCTGCTGCCTGCATCCCGACAAGCAGCCGCTCCTCGAACAGGTGCTGCAAGCGGCCCACACACCCAAATACATATATGCTAGCGTGGCGGATCACTTCGAGCTGTGCCTCGTCAAGTGTCGCACCAACTCGCACTCCGTGGAGCACGAGAACAAGTACCGCGACGCGACGGCCAAGCACTGCTACGGCATCACCGACGCTCACGAATCGCAGCGTGACGTGGCCCCCCAGGCAGTCCACAGCTAGCTAACACAACGATTATAAGCGCGTCCGAAGCTGCTCTCTCTCGCTCTCCTGCCCCCCAGGCTAGGCCATAGCCTCACATTGAGATTTCCTGTACAACAAAAGACGATCAACTCTGCGCCGCCCGCCCTGCAGTGGAGTTTAATGGTGTGAGCAGATAAATGAGCTTTACCTGCAACTAGAACTAAAACTAGAACTAGCTTAAAAGGCTTGCAATAGACAGGCCACAGGGACTGCCACAAAGCAAGCGAAGCAAGCAGCATGTCCAGGCAGACATGTCCCCCCGCATAGGGAACAAAAGCAACAAACAAACACAATGTAATGCAACTATGGATACCATTTACATACGTATATTATCGTAGTAGAACTTTTTTTTTTTTTTTTGTTGTAATTTAGATCCTAGAGGCGTAACTTTAGTAATTTATTCACGTGTAATTCTGATTTCATTTTAGACGAATGTTTGAGCCATTAAATGAGAAGCATTCAAGTGAGCCTAAGTGAGCAGCGGCTCCTGGTGTACCACCTGGCCCTCGATGCCGTAGAAGATGGTGTCGTCCTGTATGTAGCCCCAGGCCATGCGTTGCGAGGTGAAGCTGATGCCGAGATCCCCGGCGTGGCCGACAACGATGGCGCCGCCGGTGCCGCCGATGCGTTTGGTCATCTCGCGACACTCTTGCTCGGCCGCCGCCTGGGCGGACATGCCCTTGTGCTCGATGGCGGCCAGGATGCGCTGGGCTAGATTGTAGCGCATAATTGTCTCGCCATGGCCGGTGGTGGAGACGCCGCCCCTGGCGTTGTCCGCATAGGTGCCGCTGCCCAGGATGGGCGTGTCGCCAATGCGACCGGGCCACTTGCCCGTAATGCCGCCGGTGGAGGTGCCCACAACAATTTGGCCATCCTGGTCCATGGCCACAGCGCCCACCGTCTCCCCGCTGGGGTCGGTCTTCGTCTTCGTCTGCTCCTGCTCAGCGGCCAGCTCGGTGCGGGCGAAGAAGGGATCCTTGCCCTGGGCCAGCTGCTCCTTGAACTGCTGCAGCGTGAAGCGGGCCCCCTCCGTGACCAAGGCGTTCGCTGGCAGCCGCTCGCTGCCCGTGGACAGGGCCAGCTCCTGGGCCGCCTCGCCGCCGATGAACGTGTGCCGTTGTTTCTCCATCAGACGACGGGCCACCGTGATCGGGTGCATTACGTCCCGCAGCAGGGTGACGCAGCCGGCGCGCAGCTGCCGCCCCTCCATCAGGCTGGCCTCCATCTCCACCTGCCCGTCGGTGTTCAGGCAGGAGCCATAGCCCGCATTGAAGTTCTCGTCCAGCTCCATGCTGCGCACGGCCGCCTCGACGGCTTCCAGGGCGCTGCCCTTCGTCCCACTGGCGGGCACCAGGCTGCCCCACGCACAGCGCAGCGCCTCCTTGATGCCCTTGAATTTGCCAGCGATGCGCGAGTCCGGAATGTCTCCAGCTCCTCCGTGTATCAGCAGCACTGGGCGTGGCATTTTGTCAGCTCTTTGTTCTCGTCGTGGATGTTGCTGCTGTCTCGAGCAGTTGAAGAGTGAGGCTACGCTTGCTGGGCTAGCACTGCGCTCTGCCCGTATGGCTGCTTCGTTGTTGTACCCTCACCAGGCGGTCCATCAATTCAGGCACTCTGTTTGCTCTCACAGTGGATTGGAATGCCTGCTGCTTCATATCGATCCATGGTCCTAGGGCTCGCCTAAGGGCATACACTGATCGACTCGACGAGAACCTGTTTTTCTTTGCTTGTGGATCAGCTGCCTGCCTGCCTGCCTGCCTGCCTGCACCCCGATAAGGCGCAAAAATAATCATCTGTCGACTGTGTTTGTGTGTCGTTTGTGGTCGTCTGTCGTCTGTTGATATGGATATACATTCGTACACCTATTCGTACTCGTATTATGTGTGGATGTGTGTCTGTTCGTTCCTACCCCCACTGCAGCTACTTCTTTAGCAGAACAGGCCTTCGGTTTTGATTTAACATGTAACATATACCCATATATACCACATAAAAGTGTTTACCACATATGTACGTACTACTTATGTATAGTGAGTGGAGTTTGGCCCCAACCAAATTTACCTTTTACTCGTTTGTGTGTCCAAAAGGGGTGCCAAAGCAAAGGGTCCCTGAAAGATCATTAATTTACACAAATAAATACATATGTATTGTTCCTACAATGGAAGGACACAAATGGCAAAGCTTCGACTTGGTAGCTCCAACAGATGGGAATCGAATCGACGCTCACGAGTCCAGCTCTGTAAGGAAACCAGGCGTCGATTCCCTTCTCGAGACCAAGCTTATTGTACGACAGTTATATACCAAATAATATTTTGTAGAGCAGTTTGTGGTAAGCCAAAATAAGATATGAGATATACGATAAATTGAGGCGCACCTAAATTAAAATAGTTTTGATATTTGTGGTACTCCTTCGGGGACTAAAGGATGTGTTAATGCTGCAAATGCAAATGAAGAGCGAATGTCTCCTGGGAGATTAGATCCGGGCGCCCGCGTACTCTGCCTTGGACATGCCACAGATCAAATCCAGTCCAATCCAATCCAATCCAACTATATTTATGTATGTACAGGTGCTCTGATTTTAATACATCAAGAAGCCAGTCACAATAATTTGTCAATGTTTTTGAATGTGATTTAGTGGAAAGTGTAAATTGGTGGTTTGGATGTAGTTTATCTACATTCAATTCAGTGGCTTATGGCAGGCCACAAGCAGGACAGGACAGGACAGAACAGCACTGTGGGCTTCTGCAGACGATGGGTGTTTGGTTTTTGTTTTTTTTTGTGTGTATTGTGCTTTGCTTCTATTTGGCTAACTGTTTCTGGTACGCCTCAATGCTGTCCTCCAGGTAGTCAATCTCCCGCCACATGCTTGAGGCCAGATTCCAGTGCGGTGGCATATCCGCATTGACAATGTCCATCAGGTACTTGAGTCGGTTCACCTCGGCATTGTGGATGCGCTCCATGCGCATTTGCTCCACCGACATCTCGGGAATATTCAGTACCTCGAACAGTACGGGATTCCCTGGAGGACTGATCTGCAATTCCTTGAGCACCGGCGGTGTGGCCTGGCAAGCCTTCTCGTTGGCCAATGGCAGTGGAATATCCCCGGCCACGCCTGGGCGAGCGATGATGTAACGTTCTTTGTTGGCTTGCGCTTGGACATGGGTCAGCTCGCTGGCCCTACGCACGCCACGGCGTATCATGCTCATCTGGTCCTTGCTGGTGACCTTCTTGGGGCGAGTTGGCGCACGGCTGGGAGCCGCACTGTTTTGAATCTCGGTCTGGGTGCCTATCGACAGCTTCCGAACGGGCGACGGTGACGGCGACGGCGACGGGGACGGTGACGGCGGCGGAGACTGGCTGACCCAATCGCCCGGCGCCTTTCTTGCAATGCGTTTCTTGGGTGGCATCGTTGGCTGCTTACCAAGCAGATCTGTGGTGTGGCAGATCTCTAACGTCTCTGAGTAACATGTGGGCTCGAATTGCAAAAGTAAACTTACTGAGAATCAAATCAAAGGATTGCCACAATTCGACGGCCCTGATTGATGTTCGCCAACGCTTTTGCCAGTGCAGCAATTAAAATAAAATTATAGTTCGAGTCCCGAATCCAAACTCAATTCGTTTAATTATGAGAGAATGTAATTTGTTGATAAACTAAGCAAAGACAAATAGGGCTGCTGCTTTATTGGGTGTTTATTTGTGCGTAGGGTTGCACCCTGGAGGGTTGTCAACTTCGACTTAAATCGGACTATAAACTGTCAGACCAGATCAGATCAAAAAGTCAAATTTTAATTGCAGCTCAAGTGGCGTGAAGCGCCCTGTTACCATATGAATGCCTTTGCTCACGGCACTCACATTGGGTCCACTCCACAGTGTCCTGGGTCGTCCCGGCTGCGCTTTTCTTGCCGTGTGTACTGCTTAATCAGTTGATACGCAGCTCCACCAGCCTTACCCTCAGTGCCGTTCCCGTTCCCATTCCCAAGCACTTCTTGTCGAGCTTTTGGCCATGCGTGGCTCTTTGTGCATATTTAAGCAACGAAGCAGCAGAAGCAGCAGCAGCATCAACGGCAAACGCCACTCGAGTGGAGAGTGAATTGTGGACATGGGGCATGGTTCGGGATCTGGGGGGGGGGGGGGGTCTGGGGAGCTGGGAGCGAAGTGTTTTCGGCCAAGTCTCTTCTGTCAGTTGGCCTGCATTTGACGAATTTTCACGCGTCACGCATTTGCAGTGACCTCAACGCTTCAGCTGCCTGCCTGCCTGCCTGCCTGCTGTCCCCACAATGTTCACACGTAGACCTCTGAGCTATCACGCACAATCAAAGAATAAATCTGATGCATAACTTGTTTGTGGTGGCACAGAATCAATCGCATTTAAACACACAAACTTTTAGCACATGCTAAACCCTTGATCGCATTCAGGCTGCCACGCATAAACGCAGCTGGTGGCCAGGCTAGACTGCTGCTGCTGCTGCTGCTGGTCCCCCATTCTGATGGAGCCTGATGTTTATTCAGCGAGTTGAAGGCACAGCATGGAGACAGAGCTGGTAGTGTGGGCTGTGCTGTGCTGGGCTGCGTGTTACTGGGCGACGAATGAAGGCATCTTAGTTGGTTCTATCAACTCCATTGGCCTCCTCATTTGGTGGCCGGCGCCGGCTTGCATGTACTTATGTCGACATGTGCATATATTTGCATATGTCCGACTGCTCCTTCCATGCGACAGCTACAGGGGGTGGTGCTGGTGGTGCTGTGTTTCCGTTTGCCTACGATTTCCATGCTCCACTTGCAATGCGCTAAACTTCCGTTGACGTTCCCGGCTGTGTGTCCTGTGTCCTCGTCTCTCGTAGCCCTAGTCGTAGCCAATCTAAATCAAACTACAAACAGGCATGGAGTCACGCACGCCTCACAGGAGGCAGCAGCAACAGCAACAGCCGCAGAGGGCATTGGGCATTGGGTATTTGGGCACTGAGGGACCTACTTATGAGCAGGACGGACGACAAACAGCGCCAGGTACCCGGTACCCGGGTACCCAGCCACAGATGTAACCACACGGCGCACGTGCTTGGTTCATGGAATCCCCCAAGACAAAGGAAGGCCGAATAAAACACCAAAATTAACCTCTGGTATTTCTCATTTCTCATTATGCAACAATCCACCTGTATTGGGCTGTTGAATTTATAGAGTTCAAGTGTTGGTTAACTAAAGTGTTGGTAAATACTACGTTGTACATTTAAATGCTGGTCATACATACATACATACATATGTACATATGTACATTTGTATGTGTTAGGTTAATGGCATAATTATTATGTTGAAATCTTCTCTAAGATGATCCTGTGGCCCCCGTGTACCTTTAAGTATATTTTGAATGGCATTTGGTTTGGGTTTGGGGTTTGGGGTTTGGGCTTGTTCAATCCCACCACAAAACCCCTGTCATTAACAGGCTACTATTATTGTTGGTTCATGGGTTATGGGTGTATTTGTACTGGTATTTGGGTGTAATTCATTACCATGCAATTTTGTGGTGCCTGCTGCTGTTCGGCAATGTTGTTGTCAAATCAATTCTGCATAAATATATTGCGTTGACATTTGGAAAGCTGTTTTATTTGGATGCGATTCACTGGATTCGAGTGGCGGAATACCCTGAAAATATTAGTAGGATGTACATACATATATGTATGATGCAAGCAGTAAACTTTTAAGCTGTGGAAGGGGAAAATGGAATGGAATGGAATGTATGATGAAAGCAGTTCAGAACAGTTAGCAAGCAGGGGAAACTTGTGGATGATGAATGGGCAAGCATAGAGGGGAATTAAGCTCTGCTTTGATACCCGCTTCAAGCAGTGCTTACCGGTATAAAAGCACTGCTTGTATATTTTTAAAATTTAAATTTGAAATTCGAAGTCTGCTGATAGATCTTTTGGGAACAACTCAACTCAGAAATCTAGTAAGCAGTAATATTTAGCCTTCGCGCAGGGTACTCCCCTGTTCGTTGATCGATTGTTGCACACTCCATTTAAATGTCGAGTGCGTGCATACCAAATGTTTGCATCCGTAATGAATTATATAGCCGAACAGCCCCTGCCGCTGGGCGCCACAATGCCAATTTGTCAAAAAGCAAGGCCTAAACGGAACCAAAACCCGAACTAGAACTACTAGAATGGCAACGTACGGATGGGATATATGTACATAAATATGTATGTATGTACGGGGGGCATATGCATACATATATGAATATATATGCATATGGATATGGGAATGTGGTAGAGGCATTGTTTTGGATTATTTCCATTGAATATTCTGATAAGTTCTGAGCGGCTTTATGAGACCAAAGTCGGGGCTAGTCCGTAGCTAATACGCTACATGATTTCGAAGAAATCAATTTGGATTTATGTCGAAAGAATTTGTTGCCACCGAAGTGGCAAAGTGGGGCAAAGAAAACGCTGTGTAAAAGATAAAAGATGCCTGCCCCTTATTGTTGCAACAATAATTAAATAAGTTACGGTATCGATGTTGTTTCCTGTATTTGATTTGCATTTGCTGTTGTTTTTTCTGTGAAATACCCTTGCCAATGAGAGTATGGATCACTTTCGGAGGTCTCAAGCACTGATCAGCATGCCATTTAGCTTGCTGGGTTAGTACACAAGGCTAAGCTTTAGTTTCGATCCGTATTTTACTTTAGTAGTTGCTAATAAGCAGCTGCAATTAGCCATGAGCAGAGAGTGTTAGAAGCCTCGGCTATCCAGTGTAAAATTCCCTTCTTGTTTTATAATTACGAGTATTTTCGTGTTCGAATGTAATTTGCATTTTCAATTAGAGCTGTTCAGGGGTGCGTACACACGCACACACACACAACACACACACGCACACCTGTATGCGGAAAATGTGGGAAAATTTGATTTACAAATATTATTGTTGCTGGGGTTTTTTCTGTATTTGTTGTTGTTGTTGTTGTTGTTTTCAGCTGGATATATTTTCAGCACGGTATAGGATTCTACAAATTACAGGACGAGCTCACCCCTCATTTGGGGCTTGTTTTAAATATTTATTGATGGATTTTGATAGAGTGTGTATGTCGGGGATGTCTGGGATGTCTGGGATGTCGGATATGTCGCTGGCAGTCAGAGAATATGGCTTATTACTGATTTGAGAGTGGTTTTCAGTGTTGGGTTCAATTAAATTGCATTTAGCCGACAACTGCGGCGGCACGGCAGATGCCAAAGCGATTCCAAGTCAATTACAATTGCCCTGTGCTCCCATCTGCTCCCATTTGCGCCCATCTGCTCCCTCGAACCTCTGACTTTTGCCACGCTCCGACTCCGAGCGCATCAATATGTCGTTCGGGTGGCGCACTTTAAGGCCAACTTTAAAATGAAATCGGGTTCGTGGCTCAAGCTCGAATCTGTCACAATTAATGCCACCCAAAGACGGTCCCTGCCCCACAGATGTTGTCTCATTTACACCGGAAGTGGGAGGAGGAGGCGGGGTGGGGTGTGGCCCGACTTGGATTTGCCTCTGAAGCGTGGTAAAGTTTGTAGCTTTCCCCATCTCATTGTCAACATCATCCTCCTGGAAGGCCGTCGAGCGGGGAAGGAGAGAGAGAGAGAGCGAGAGAGAGAGGGATGGCGGCCATTAAAGCCATGTTAATCGATTTTCTGTTGCCTGCCGCGGCTGAGCTGTTGCTGACACAGGCACATGCCACACAGAGCCCGACCCGACCCCACCCCACACACCCAGAGCCCGCTTTAAACGTCGCAAAGTAGAAAATAATCAGCATGGCACCAAGTGTTTCAGGTGAGGCCCCTTCCTCCGCTTGGATGGGCGTGGCAATAGGCGCAATGCTAATCGTCGATGGCTGTGGGGCTTGTGGGGGATGGGTCATGTCCTTCCTGTATCAAATGTATCTTCGGATAGTAAATGAGCGCAAGAGATTTCGTTTGTCAACTATAAAATTCGTTAGTCCCCAAAGCTGATGATTTATTGTTGGCAATTCCGAGGAGGAATAAGTAGCCCGCGCCCCGCGCCCCTACCCCATTAACTATTACTTTTAGTGGCTGCCAGGAACTGTGGAAAAGCGGCTGAAAACACTTTAAAACTTAGTTTCTTCAGCAGATACAGCAGCGCCACCTCCGACACATCATTCTACGAGTATTCTGCAAAATCTGTGCTCTGTGCTGAATATATCCATCTGGCAATCCATTAAATGTTTCATGTTCATGAGTGAAGCTATAAACCGCTGACAGGAACAATCTTTGAGTACGTTACTCGCCCAGGGCCACGACGCCGCCTACGTGTGGCTACGTGTGAGTCATTTCCCTATTGCCGGCCTTATTTCCACCAGAAGTGCAAGGGGAAGAGTATTTTAGCAACTTTCCTGATCATATGTTTCGCCAAGTGTTTGATTTAATGTAGAGTCAACTTTGGAGCCCAACTAA